TATTCTTCAGCCACACTATCCTCAAAGCCCTTGCACTAGCTGCTCCCTGTGCCTGGAAAAAGCAAAGAGCACGACCCCAGACCCGCAATACAGCCAAGCTACTTCCCATGTATAGACACAACAGAAAGACATTTTCCAGTGCTCAAACTTGCCGTTTTCTTGTGGATGGAAGGGACCACTGATGATGATTAATCAGATAAGCATCTCAGAAATGAGAAAGCTATTAACAAACTTTCTTATATTAATAGACATCCAGTTTGGGAAGTGAGCTCATATAAACATTACAGTAAGGCTCAATGACCATGTTATGGCTACAAAACGTAAATGTTATAAACCTTGACAAAGTAAAAATAATTAAAGTAACTCAAATTTGATCAGGAGGGAGTGGAAGTCAATCAAAAAGTTTATCTTTCGTGGGGTGAGGAAGGTGGTAAACTGAATTATCTAAAACTGATCATTTTTAAAATTTAAAACTGGTATAGAAAAACTAAACAACAGAATAGTACTTTTATATATAAACAAAGAAAAGAGCTCATGTGGCAAAAGACAGACAAGATGCTGTAAAAACAAAAAGTGTGAGTAAAATGAAAGATTTAACATCAAACATTTCTTCAAAAGCTGTAAACAAGAGAAACTCACCTTTTTTAAAAAAAGAGCTTCTCCTACTGTATCAAAAATCTCAACTCAAATACATGCTGTTCTAATGGTGGCAACAGTGTAAATGGCCTAGACCTCTTTCAACAGGGACAGACTGGGGGAATTAACAGCATCTCCACGACAGAAACTGCTCTAGCAGCATTTGCTACACATTCTGAGCACATGATGCATATGAACTCACTTAATCCCTCTAACTACCTATGTACCTATCTTTCCCATTTTACAGAGAAGGAAACTAAGTCACAAAGAAACTACAAAGCTCACCCAAGGATACACATATTAAGTGGCAGGCCAGGATTCAAACACAAGCAGTGCACGGCTTCTACCACCAGGCTATATTGCCTCTCAGCAAGGGTACACCAAGCAGCTGCTAAAGATGTAAAGTATATCTATACAACAATTTGGAAAAATATTCAGAATATGTATGTGGAATAAAAAGGATGCTTAACAGTATATAATCTCAGGTATGTTCTAAAAATGTACATGTTTAAATGTGCACATATATACATGGGGCATATCTGAAGTGTGAGAATAAACCATTTAATTCTGCGGCTATGACAGTGTCAGGGTCAGGTGGGTAAGTCCTTTTTACTTTTACACCCTTCTGCACTGTATGACTTCAATAGGTGCAAAGTGTCAATCCCAGCGAATTACTATGGGAAGTGTATGTTCTTAGGCTTCTGTTTAAAAAGTGAGAGAGGCTCAGCAATTGTTATTAATGAACTAATGCATTTTTGGGAAAACAGCAGGTCCCAAAAAGTTCCAGGTAACTAGTGGACACTGGTGTCCTCCTTTCTTCCCAATATTATGTCCCAAGAAGGAAAACATTCCACATACATCAATAAATCCATGGTGAGTTTCTGAGATCAAAATATTCACAGAATTCAAACAGATCATAAACTTCACCTTGAAAACCTCAAGTCCAAAAAAGAATAGCTATTTTTACACCAGTTCAGAAAAAAGACAAGGGAACCACTGTCCTGAATAAATACTGTTGAGTGCAACGATCTGAGGAACAGTGGGGAAACATGGGTTACCGGTAGAGCCATGATTAAAAGCTAGAACTCCGGCCTTTTCTTGCCATTTGATAGGGTTGTTAGTGCTTTTACTGCAAGTTTCCTTTCTTTTGAAATTTTTTGGACAGCACCGTATTCTGCCAGCTATGGTTGTAACACTTCAAGGCAGCCGCTGATACAACTAATAAGACTGGAGGAATCAATCCGGACATCCCTCCGCAGGAAGCAAGTGGCTGAAAAGCTTAACTTCCTAAATAAACTGTTAGCAATATTATTTACCAACTAACAACCCGCTAATTTCTGTAGGCGGTGGCCACACCCCAAATGCTTACAATTTAGTTGGCAATTTTTTACTGAGTAGTACTCACAACGATGCTGATTCAACCGCTGCTCTTCTGGAGTGGGGAACTCCAGAAGAAGTTCCTCTCGGATTTTTTTGCTTTTAAAGACCCTAGACAGCCCCCAAGCATCCCGTCCCCCGTCAGCCCGCGGGCCGCCTAGGTGCGTCACACCAGGGGAGAAGGTGGCCCCAAACCCCCAAGCCCGGCAACTGACAGCGCAGCAAGATGCAGTTGGTGTCCTCCTGGCTCGTCACCCAGCTCAACGAGTCGCCCAGGGGCCGCCGGCAGCCGGAGCACAGAAACACCAGCGGCCTGTCCTCCTCAGCCGGCTCAGCAGCCTCCTCGCGCCGCATCTTTTCCAGGCAGGCCACCGACCCGTCCCCGCCCACGGAGCTCCACGTGCTCGCCCACTTCTGCAGCAGCTGGTGGCGGCTCGAGTCTTCCGAGACCCGCTTGTCCAAGAGCGAGGAGTCGCTCCGCTTGCCCTTGTCGCCACACGCACAGATAGTAGAGGAACAGCCTTCGCAACAATCTGGAGACCAAGCACTCGCCATTACTTACAAATGGCCCGGGCCACGAAGCACCACGGGAAAAACATTCCTGCGCCTGCGCAGAGCGGAGCCGAGGTCGGGAGGAGGGGACCGGAGCCGAGGTCTGAGGAGGCGGGGCCTTAGGGAACTGGCAAGGTGGGCAGCCTGCTAGCGCGCATGCGTTCCCGGTCAGCGGAGCCATACCGGGTGGTCACTGCGCCTGCGTGGTATTTTTCACCCTTTGGAAATTGAAGCAGCAGGAGGTCCGACAGTCAGTGTGCTGTAGAACCTCTTCCATACGAGGGGCTGCGTCTTTAAGAAAGTTACGGGCTTCAGACTAAATTACCAATCCACCACCGAGACTTTCACAGTGGTTACGAAATAGCACACTCCGCCCCGCCTACCACCCAGAGATAGAGGAGTTGGGGCACGATCC